AATAAATCGGGAAAAAAATGTTTAATTTTTGTTGAAAGTCTAAAAATCTATATGACATATAGATTTTTAGACTTTCAACAAAAATTAAACATTTTTTTCCCGATTTATTTATGGAGTTAATCAATCTGTGCATTGAGGGGCTCATATATAGATAGGAAACATCAAGGTCTAACAAGAAACTAAATCCAAATAAATAAAATTGTGTATATAACACTTGTCTTGCAATATAGTTTTTTTTTTTGCTTATCCCTAGTACACGTGGTACAGGCCATGATAATCATTGTGGGTAGTAGTTAGTGACTGCTTTTTACTGTAAGCGCACCACATGTCTACACATGTGAAAAGCAGTTCGACTTTGCACTTACAAATGCCAGAGCCCCGTTTGGTTACTTGCACTCGCTGGTGGGGTTGGACTTTTGCAAGAATCGGGGGCCATTGGAGCATTTTTTTTAAACAGAAAAAAATGCCCAATGCGGTAATCGAACCCGGGTCCTAGTGGTCGAAAACCAAACGGTTTAACCAGCCTTCCACAATATAGTAATCAATAAGACACAATTTTTTTGGATTATAGATTAGAAACACTGGGTATAAGACCAAATCCAAGTAAATTTTTTTAAAACGCTTAAGTTACAGCATTGTTATCATCACCACCACCATAAAGATTTAATACTTTTGTCTGATGATGGTAATAACGCTGTTACTGAAACATCACACACTTATTTATTAAGTCTTATTACCCTGTGTTTCCAATAATCATGCACCCCAAGGATCATCAGATCATCTCCCAACTATACTGGAAGGATACATTTTGAAGAATAATTGAAGGACAACGGAAGGTTTGGTTTAAAACAAAAAGATCTGATAAAATGGTTTGGAATTAGAAGATATGAAGAGAATTGCTCAGTACACAGGGTGAAATGGCATTCCAAATAAATAAGATATAAACATAAGGTAATATGATCAAATCCAAATAAATAGTGTGTGACATTTCGGTAACAGTGTTGTTACCGAAACGTCACACACTATTTATTTATTTAGATTTGGTCTTATTACCTTGTGTTAATAATCTATAATCCAAATTGTGCCTTATCAAATAAATAAGATATTTTGGATTTGGTCTTGTTATCTTGTATTGGAACATGTAGAGTTTAAAAAATTACAATTTTCAAAAATCATTGCTCAGATTCCAGCAATAATTACAAGTTTTGACAAGAAGACCTAATCCAAACAAATTAATAGACGTTTCGGTAGCAATGCTGTTACTGAAACGACAATTTATTTGGATTAGGTCTTATTTTCTTGTAGTTCTAATCTATAATCCAAATTGTGCTTTATCATTACAAGTTTTTGTTTGCTTTGTGATTCCATCAATATTGATATTTGACAACACACTCAAGAAACTCTTGTACCAGACTTTTCACAATATTGATAAAAAAAACAAGGCTCTAGAGAATAGCAATCTGATTTTTTAAAATATATTTTTCCAAGATTTGGTAGCAATACTTTAGAATACAAATGATAAGGCACAATTTGGATTATCAACATATATAGTCACGACCGTCTTTCCTCAATTCCTCATCGCTGTCACGGATGCACGCGCATCATCATTATGATCATTATCTTCTATAGAAGCTTCTATCTTTATAATTATGTATATTTACAAAAAGTCAATTCGCTCGCGCCTCTAGTGGTGAAAATGAGGGGTAATACCAGCTGACCTAATGTACATGTAAAGTTTGGAGCGGGACGTTTCACAAGAGTGACATCCACGGCTCCAATTTATAATTGTAACAAATAGTATTTGAATAAAAACATTCAATCGGGTAAAACACGGGCGTTGCCCGGGTCATTCGGCTAGTAGATTATAAACACAAGGTAATAAACCAAATCCAAATAAATAGTGTGTGACTTTTCGGTAACAGCTTTGTTACCATCTTCAGACAAAAGAACTGAATGAGAAATTTTACCACAGCATGTTTTAAATAGCTACTGTTATCAAAACATGCTGTGGTAAAATTTCTCATTCAGTTCTTTTTACTAGAACTTTTTAGAATGTGTTTAGAATATAAAATATTTAAAACAGCTGTAGCTATATGGATGGTAATTTACCTTGGCATTTTCTGGCTGGGAGAGGATGTCTTTGATCTGTCTCAGGGTGGAGAAGGGACGTTCTCTCTCGTCATCACGCTCCAGGCGATTGAGCAGTCGCACAAACCTCGTTTCATCTACAACACATCACTCTCCATCATAGTCCCAATAAATGACATGGCTGGGCAGCAGCATTCTCTGTCAAAATACCCCAATTTAATTAATGTAATTTCCACTAGAGAAGGTTCTAAAAGTTCTTATTTTAGTAACTTTGCATATTTATATATAGCATAACCTTTTTTTTTTTGTTGTTTTTTTTTCTTGAAAAAGGATACTTCGGCTAGTATAAATCTTTTTATTACCTCGACGTTTCGACAAAAAGCTTTTGTCCTCGTCAGGAGCAAACAAAAATTAAAACATATAGCAAAGCGTTGTGTGTGTTAATGATGAGATTGTGTTTATTGGTATCACAAAAAGTTTAAAACAAAACACACTTTCAAAAAAAATTTTTTTTTTTTGTTCATTAAAAGAGAAATAGTTCTGGCTCTAAGTTAGTTAGCAAAGCTTCCCAAGAATTCTATGGTACCTATCTCTCTGTAGACCACATTCCCTCCTATCTATAGTGGAAGGCCACTACTCAAAGACATGAAGTGCATTTACATTGAAGGCAAGTTGTCAACTACTATTTACCATGATTATCATGGCCTGTATGTCATGTACTAGTGAGGGGGGGGGGGGGTTATTGTGCAATGACGGAAGACTACTAAAATAGCTCTATTCTAATCAATATCACCACTTGACCAGACCTGGTAAAACTGGTGGAAAAATGGCCCTTGACTGTTAAAATTGTTCTGGGTTAACCCCCATTGCAGATCGGTTAAACTTTGTAATTTGATGTTAAATTTGAAATTCCATTGGTCACGGGTGAAATCTGTGTTGTGCTGTGCTTTTGTGTGTGTTGTGTGTGTGTGCATGACACATTTTTTTTACAATAGTAGGTTATCAATTCAGCTTTTAGTTTGGTATTTATTTCAACTGCAAATGGCAAGACACTCAAAAGTTCCAAATGCGAGACATTTATAAAAATAATAATAATAATAAAATTGCAAACACAAGGTAATAAGACCAAATCTAAATAAAGTGTCTGATAATGGTAAAAATTGCTGTTACAAAAATGTCACACTATTTTGATTTAGTCTTATTACCTTGTGTTTTCAATCTATAATCCAAATTCTGTACCTTATCAATAGAAATTGAAGCAAGTCATTTTATAGCATTATAGTCAACATAGCATACCCAGAAATCTCCAAAACCATGAAAAAACCATCTATATCTTATTAAATCCAAGGACAAAATACAGTAAAACCTGTCTTGTCATTTGGTTCCAAGCATAAATGAAAGATTGATTCCTAAAACATGTTTGATACAAAAAAATTGGCTACAATGAATATAAAATTATTCTTTCTTATGCAAATCCAAAGATTCTCTTGATATAGGATATTCAAATTGGCTACAATAAACTTAAAACTTTCTCATGCAAATTCAAAGATTCTCTTAGCATAAACAATTGACAATTAAAATAATTTTATTGACATCTTGTCAATACATGCAAAAGTAAACAGTCTTAACATAGAATATTCAACTTATTCAGAATTTTGGGATTTGGAAAAAAAAAAAAAAAAGGTAAACATGAACATGTTAGCCAGGGTCTGATATCTAAGAAAACTAAATACAGTTGAACCTCCATAAGAGGTCACTCCCGCTTGAGAACACCTCTCTACAAAGGACAGTTTTCATTGGCAAAATTACCATTTTTACTAATTAGCAACTCTCCGGTAAGAGGACACCTCTCACTAAAGAACACTTTACAAAGCAACCAGGTGTCTTTTAAAGGAAGGTTGAACTGTAATTGGAAAACCAAAAGGCCTTCACTAAAAAATGGACTCCTGAGGCATGAAAATTCACTAAAGGTAAGACAGAAATAGGTATATTAATGACAGGAGAATTGCTTAATTCACCTCCAATCAATAGTTAGCGCAACCCTTCCACCCACACTTATAGTCTTCATTTATAAAGAGAAAGAACTTCTTCTTTCTTATCTCCACTCAATCATATTAAGGTATCAAGCTTGTAAAGCGTGTTGATGGTGTCTACCGGGGAAGAGTAGAGCTCATCAATGGATGAGTCAATACAGTCAATAATGTGTAGATAGAATAATAAGGCAAGATTTGGATTATAGATTATAAACACAAGGTAATAAGACCAAATCCAAATAAATAAATAGTGTGTGACATTTCGGTAACAGCATCGTTACCATCATCAGACAAAAGTACTAAAGGTAATGAGATAATGGTAACAACACTATTACTGAAACATCCGACACTATTTTTCCATTTGTATTTTGTCTTAGTACCTTTTATTTCTAATCCAAATTGTGCCTTATATCATTAGTAGAGAGATATTTGTGTATTTAGTAAATCCATCATTGTGCTTCGCTATTTGTACAGAATAAAACTCACATGTCTGTAAGGATGCAAATAGAGAGATTACAAATACCGAGCCCTATAAATATTATTGAATTATTTGGATGTGGGCTTGTGTTGTTACCATATGTTTCTTTAATCTCACAAGATAAAATTGTGAAAAAAGAATTAAAAACCACAAATATTTTCTCACAATGAGTTTCTTTTTATTTTAAATTGCAAGTTTTCAAGCGATAATCACTCTTAAATGGGCTTAATTAAAACAATTGTTGATTGTAATAAATAGTTAATTGTTTTAATTAAGCCCATTGAAGAGTAATTATCGTTTGAAAGCTTGCAATTTAAAATAAAAATAATTTCTCTAATATAAAAAGTCCCTCGAGCTGAGTTTGAACCAGCAACCTAAGAATCACTGTTGATACACTTGATACCTCATTGATATCTCAGTTGGCAGAGCGGAGGACTGTAGATGTATCAACGGTAATCCTTAGGTCGCTGGTTCAAATCTGACTTGAGGGACTTTCTTTAATCTAATACAGTATAACCTCCATGAGAGGACACTCGCGCTAAAGAACACCTCTCTACAAAGGACAGTTTTCATATGCAAAATTACCAATTTTACTATTTAGTAGCTCTCTGGTAAGAGGATACATCTCCCTAAAGGACACTTTGGCTCTGCAATTAGGTGTCCTTAACAGGGAGGTTCTACTGTATTCCAAATGGAACCTGTGCCCTATAAACTGATCTCATCCTTACAACTGGAAACCCATACAATCTAATCTCTTTTTACCATCCTAGGTTTTATTGATCCTACTGATCTCTTGATTGAGTGTAAACTACAAGAGTTCAAACCGTCTAAAATTTACTCTTTTACCTTTTTTTGCTAAATGAGAAATAAGAGGAGGGAGTGGGCATAAGAGAATATTCTTCATTATAAAATGGATCTGATATCCAAAAGTGTTATCACACGCCAGATCATAAATCGTTTATAAGAAAAGACTAAATCTCAAAAATAACGCTCACTTCAAAATAACACCACCCTCTAGTAACTACGGGAGAGGGATAGAACGAATCAGGTATTATAATTACTACACTAACACCACAGGTTTCTAAATTTGAATAGCTAATTCTGTACCAGTTTGAATGCCTTTCCTAACCATAATTGGAGTGTGGAGAAGAGGGGTGTTTTATGGAAATCCCAGAAGTTTCCTTACAAGTATTCAGCATGAATAAATCTTGTTTGAAAATTAGAAATACAGTAGAAACTCTCTTTAGCAGACACCTTTCTACAAAGGACAGTTTTCATTTGCAAAATTACCATATTTACAATTTAGCAACATTCCAGTAAGAGGATACCTCTACCTAAAGGACACTTTGGCTCTGTAATTAGGTGTCATTTACAGGGAGGTTCTACTGTATATAATTAGAACTCCATTTCGACAGACTTGCAGTGAATAAAATTTTTAAAGAGTAGGAATTCACCACCAATGAGATATGCCCTCCCTCTTTCTATTTTAATTCATTGCAGTATAAGGTGTGTAGAGCATTCAATTAATATATATTTAAAAGAGATAAAGCACAATTTGGATTATAGATTAAAACTACATGGTAAGAAGACCAAATCCAAATAAATTGTGTATGACGTTTGGATAAGTGTTATTATCATCATCAGACAAAAGACTAAATGAAAAAAATAACGCAGCATATTCTTAAATACTACTGTTATCAACTTCTAAGAATAATATTTTAGGTTTTCTTAGAAAACTATCTTTTTTTCATATCTTGTTATCTTGTTTACACATTTGATAATGGTAACTATTCAAGAACATGCTACGATATATTTTTCATTTAGTCTTGATGATGTAACAACGCTGAAACGTCATAACACTATTAATTTATTTGGATTTGGTCTTTATTCTTTGTAACATATTTTAAGAGGGTAGCATTACAAAAAATTATTTCTAATTTTCTGAAATGATCATTGATTTATTTCTCCTGACGAAGACAAAATATTTTTTGTTGAAACGTTGAGAAAATAAAAAACTCTTAACTGGCCGAAGTGTCTATTTTTCACAGAAATAAAAATGTTGTTTGAACAATAAAGATGGAGATGTTTTTTTTTTTTAATGCAGATGGCAAATGAATCCAGCAACAGTTGAACCTCTCTGTAAAGCACAACACCTAGTTTCTGAGCCAAATTGACCATTAGAGAGAGGTGTCCTTTTACCAGGACGTAGGTAAAAATAGTCATTTTGGTGATGAAAACTGTCCTTCGTATAGAGGCGGCCACTAATTTGAGAGTGTCCATAATGGAGGTTCGACTGTATAAAAGGTGAAATATGACATCAATGGTTAAAGCTGAAGCAAAATTTGCAAGGTGACGTGTCAACATTGATTGAAAACAGGATCAATTATCAATAATAGATTAAAAACTAAGTATTCAAACTAGCCGAACACTACCGGAGCTCATGGATTTAAACAGATATACTTCATCTAGTAAAATGAATCTGGAAAACATGGCTATCAGGATTAAAGGGGGGCGAAAGCAGACAGCATGCTTTACTAGCAAATACCTACCCCTACGCAACAGTTCTTAGCCATTACAGGAGAATTGGCTGTTCAACTTTGCACTTACAAATGTGCCAGAGCCCTGTTTGGTTACTTGCAGTCGCTGGTGGGGTTGAATGTTTGCAAGAATTGGAGGCCATTGGAGCATTTTTTTTTTTTATCAGAAAAAAGTGGCCCATGTGGGAATAGAACCTGGGTCAAAAACCAACAGTTTAGACCATCCTTCCACCGACCCCCTTCAATCTTTGTAGATGCACAAAAGTATGTAAATGATAATATGAGAATGTTTGTCTTTAGATGTCAATCCACATAGGTGAGACCATTCAGATGGAACGATTGATAGAAATTTTAGATACGATGACTTGATTTTCTTCAATGGTTTAATTATTGTGTTAATCGTTAAATATTCCTATAAAAAGCTCTATTTTTTTATATAAGTAATTTTTACAAGGTAATAAGACTAAATTCAAATAAATAGTATGTTCTGTTTCGGTAACAATGCTGTTACCGAAATGTCACACACTATTAATTTATTTGGATTTGGTTAGTGCATACACGACATAGCTGAAAGGGCTGTATCGTAACGCACAAATGCCAGCCATATGAAACCTGCCTTTTTCGTTTCTCATGGTCAAATGCGCCATTGGTTGGATAACCTTAACTAAATGGCCACACATCACCATGGTAAACAATCAGTTGTTTTGAAGAATAATGTGTTTTTTTTTAAGGAACCAATGGTTATAACAACAACAGGATTATAATAACAAAATCTTGGTCTCAACTCCCTCTAAAGGAAAACACCTAGTTGCAGAGCCAATGTGTTGTTTAGTGAGAGGTGTCCTCTTACCAGAGAATTACTAAATAGTAAAAATGTTCATTTTGGTGATGTAAACTGCCCTTTGTAGAGAGGTGTCTTCTAGTAAGAGTGTCTTGTTTGTACTACATAAAATGTTGATAAAGCAAACCCTCCACCTATTTGTTCAAATCAAACCTCCATTGTGAGACTATATATGTTTTTGAAAAGGTCTCCCACAGGAGGTTCTATTGTGCCATTTCTACAAGGTAAGATAAATTTGAATATTGTGATCAACCCACACAGTTTCTGATATTATTACACCACCTTTTGATGTGAGCCACCTGCCTCCTCTCCTGCTGTGTTCTCTTGTGAATGTAATTTAAATAGGTGTGTGAAATGTCAGTAGCACACAAATATGTGGACACACATGCTAAAATAGGTTTCTTGTACTGTACAACCTCAGTTTGTAAAGGACAATACTTGGTTGTGGGGTTAAAGTATTTTTAAAGAGAGATTATCGGAGAGTTTGAAGAGCAAGGAGAACAAAAATGGTCATTTTTGGCAATGAAAACTGTTCTTTGTATGGAGATGTACTCTCATGAAGGCTCTGCCATATTTAGCAATTAAATCCTGAAGAGAGCAGGATTTTCCTGAGGATCAATGTTTGTGCTACAGAAAAATTCCTGAAGAAAATTTAAGAGGTTCTAATTAAAAAAAAAAAGTACAAATTGAATCATAGCAAAATATATATCAAATTGAATCTTGGTAATTACCCTGGTATACCTGTGATTTCAGAATGCACTTCTGCAGCGGCAATCACACCCCTCTTCAGCACAACCATCACAAGTCCTGGATATCTTCAACTCACAGATGGTCTTCTAACCTCATGATACCAGTCAGTGACTAGTAATAGTTCTCAAAGATATCCCTTTACTATATTCTGTTATTTAACAGATCTCCACTTAACATTGGTGTCTGGAAGGCCCTAACTGTAGATGGATACTTTATCAGAATACACACAGGGAGATTATGGCAGCGGACTATCAAGATGAGAAAGAGATCCCAACACTGTGAAAGTAAAGCTGTTTCTTATATTTGATCATCCAAGAATATATATGTGTTAAAAGTTTATATTATTTTACTTTATATCAAGATTAGTAAAGGCAGATATGATTATTTTGACATTTGTGTTACATACACAACCTAGGTGTTTTTATACAGTAGTACATTCTTTATAATTGACAGTTTTTCTCTCAGCAAAATTTACTTTTTTTTACTAACACAAGGTAATAAAAGACCAAATCCAAATAAATAAATAGTGTCTGAAGTTTCGATAACAACGTTGCTACCGAAATTTCACAAACTATTAATTTGAATTTGGTCTTTTATTACCTTGTGTATATCTAATATATAATCAAAATTGTACCTAATCATAACATTTTTACTATTTAGCTGCTCTCCAGTAAGAGGACACCTCCCTTTAAAGGACACTTTGGCTCTTCATCTAAGGATGTCTTTTTACAGAGAGGTTCTACTGTAAAAACATTATTTTATTCTATTTTCTTGTAGAATATAGAAAAATGCTATCAGGCGGAGGACTAAGGAAGAAAATCCTAAATTACCAGCACATTAGATTGTAAACAATACAGTAGCAACAACAGTTGTTCGTGGCATGAGTGTTCAGTAAAAGATACTAAGAAGCACTTTGCCACTTGTCTTGAATTGTTTTATTGTCTTTGGTTTTAGAGTTATGAGTAGCTACCACATGAATTTAGAATACATGAAATTGACTTAGATTTTGATACTAGTGGTAGAGAGAGAGAGAAAACAAAAAAAACTATTAATTAACCAAACTAGAAATTTACATACATGTTGCTTGCTTTAAAATTTACATATTAAAGATTTATATTGTACAATTGAATTTAGAATATTTTGACTTAATTTTCATATATAAAATTGAATTTAAAGAAATTATTAACTATAGGATCCAACATACTCCCCCGGCTGGGAAGAGATGACCAGAAAATAAAAATAAAAAAAATAAATAAAAAATAAAAATAAAAAAGAGTTCCAATAGTATAGATGCTGGACTAATTGATGCCGACTATGTAGCTAAGATTACAATTCTCATTGTTTGAAAGGCAATGGAATCAGC